CTCTGTCTCTCATTCTCTCTGTCTCAAATAAATAAATAAAATCTTTAAAAAAAAAAAAAAACCACAGTGAGGTACCACTTCGCACCCACTGGATTGGCCAGAATTAAAAAGACAGAAAACAGGTCATGTGGGTCAGGATGTGGGCTGTTGGGATCCTCACACACGGCCGGGGGGACATAAGACGGTGCAGTCACGTGGGAAAATGGTTTGGTGGTTCTTCAAAAAGTGAAATATAGACTTACGCTCCTACACGTGTACCCAAAAGAATGGGAAGCAGGGACTTGCACGGATGTTTGCACACCACGTTCACAGCATTACTCACAAGTGCCAAAAGGTGGAAACAACCAAGTGTCCGTTGGATGAATGGATCCACAAGGTATGGATATCACTCAGGCCTTAGAAGGCGTCAAGGACTGACTGATGCTCCCACCTGTGGAGCAACCTTGAGGACATGGTGCTGAGGGAAATGAGCTGGTCACAAACAGACAGCTGCTGCAGGACCCCGGTACCAGGAGAGTCATCCAGCCCAGCGGCAGGACGGATGTCCCCAGGGGAAGGGGTGTGGGGCTGGTGTTGAATGGGGACAGTTTCTGCTCAGATGATGGAAAAGTTCTAGGCATAATAGGTGGTGGTGACATTTACAGTGTTGTGAACATAGTTAACGTCACTGAACGTGTGCTTGAAAACTGTAAGCTTTATGTTTGTGTATTTTACCACAATGAAAAATACACTAAAAAAAGAGAAATGAGTTTATAGCAATAAAGCATGGGCACACGTGTGGCAGGGGAGAGCTCGGGTCCCAGGAAGCAGTGGGCATCGGCCCAGTGCGTGACTGTGGCCTGACCCCACACAGGCCCCGGGGTGTCTGGACACGCTCATCGCCGGCCCCGCACGTCCCGCCACAGCTCAGCACCTGGACGCGCTCCGGCGTGTCGCACCCCGAGGCAGGAGCAGCCCTGTGTGCGGCAGAGGGAACAGGCTCTGGACTCCTTTACCAGGTCCTCCGGTGCGCCCTCTAGGGACCACACGTGACCTCACAACAACCCCTTCTTTGGAGGGAAACCGAGGCACAGAGCGGTCAAGCGGTGCAGCCAGAAGACCTGCCCAGCCCAAGTGTCAAGGGGCGGCCCTACCTTCCGCCTGAGCCGGGCCACCAGGAAGTTTGTGAGATGTGCCCTGTCCCTGAGCCTCCTGAGGGCTAGCCCAATGGGTGAACCATCAGCTGACACGGCTCCTCCTGCAGAAAGAGTGATTCTGTCAGGCTCAGGCCTCCTACAGCCTCGGGGAAGGTCCTGGGAGTGGAGGCTGTGTCGTCCAGGGCAGAGATGCATGCTTCGCTGCCCTCCCCTGGGGATGCCCGCTGTCACTGTACGTCCACTGGGAAGTGAAGATGCTCTAGAGCTGAGCGGAAGGGGGCAGGTCCCCATGAAGACTGAGAGGCGCTGGGATGAAGTCTCATCCTCGTGTCAAGGAAGCAGGAACCTCTGCAGGAAAACAGTACGGCCTTGCCACCTAGTGCCAGGTGGAGGCTGGTCTGCACCAGCCTCCCAGCTGCTTGGGAACTAGGGAAACCTTCTTATGACCATAGGTCAAAGAAGGGATCGGTGGAGGTTAGAAATTATTTTGACCTGAATTATCATTAATACACTGCTTATCAAAACTTCTGGAATGCAGGGCTGCCTGGCCGGCTCAGTCGGTAGAGTGTGAGACTCTTGATCTCGGCTCAGGTCATGATCTCAGGGTCGTGAGATCGAGTCCCGCTTTGGGCTCTGCACTGAGCGGGGAGTCTGCTTCTCTCCCTCTCCCTCTGCCCCTCCCCCTGCTTGTGCATGCTCTCTCTCAAATGAATAAATAAATCTTTAAAAAAATTTAAAAACAGGGGCGCCTGGTGGCTCAGTCGGTTAAGCATCCGCCTTTGGCTCAGGTCAGGATCCTGGGGGTCCTGGGGTTGAGTCCTGCATCCGGGCTCCCTGCTCAGGAGGGAGCCTGCTTCTCCCTCTGCCCCTTACCCCCGCTCTCATGCTCTCTCTCACTCTCTCTCTCAAATAAATAAATTACAGTAAAATAAAATTCGAAGGACAATACTATAGGCAATTTTTAAAAATCTAGATGAAATGGACAATTTTCTAGTAAAATATAATATCAAAAAGTGACACACGAAAAAGAAAATCGGGATCGTCCTTTACTGTGAAAAAAACTGAATTCACACTTTAAAACCTTCTCACAAAGAAAATCCTAAACCCAGAGGGGCTCAGAGTTGAATTCTATTAATTGGTTCAGGAAAAATTAACATGGGTCTAATATAAACTTTTTCAGAAAACAGAAATAGGGAACATCTCCCAACACATTTGAGGCCAGACCCGTGGTCCTAAAACTTGACAATGGGCATCATGAGAAAGAAAGGGTACAGCCAAAGTCACTCACTAACATAAACGTATTAATTGTCAGTAAAATAGCAGTAAAAGAATATATCATGTGTTGAGTTTATTCCAGAGATGTAAAGTTGGTTTAACATTCAAAAACCGACGCAAGCTCACTGTTCTGGACAAGACAGCGCGTGCGTGCCCCGCCCTCTCCTTCGGTGCAGCTGCAAGCCCAAAGCGGCTGTGAGGGGAGGCCCGGCGGGCGAGGGCCGGGGGCTCCGGGGGTGGGGACCCTGCAGCGGGCTCCCCGTCGTTCCCTTCCTGTATTTCCGAGCTCTGATGCTGGAGCAGCCACAGCCCAGACACACCAGGGAGCTCGCACCAAGAAAGGCCCCAGCCAGGCCTGTTCCCTGCAGTGGAAGGGCCAGGGAAGGGGGACTCCACAGGCGGGCGTGGTGCAGACAGAGGCTCATCTGCACCAGCCGCCTGCACCCTCCTGGGAAGAGCATGTGTGGAGGGTGCGGGGGGGGCGGGTGCGCAGGGCAGAGAAAGGGATTCCTTAACTCTGCACCAAGTCCCTGAGGGGCCCCTGTGGAAACCAGGCAGCGTGGGGATGGCCGAAGTGTTGCGAGCTGAGCTCTGCTGGGGGGGAGGGGGCAGAGAGCGCCAGGACCATGGCCTCGGGCCGCACACAAGGAGGCACAGCAGAACAGCATCATCGCAAAGGCTCTGGAGACCAAGGGGCCGTTCGGTCTAGACCCAGCCCGAGAGAGCGGGCCAGGACACAGACGTGCATTGCGCCTGAGCAAGGTGGAGGGCCCGAAAGCGCAGAAGAGGAATCAAACAGACGTCATAAAGATCGGGGTTTCAGAGCATCCCCTTGGTATGTGCATGTCATCATCCAAAGTCTCTCATCACACCGATAACCAGGAAAATCCCAACTCAAATGAAGCACTGAGAGGGCAGATGTCGGGATCATGTGGAATAGGGAACAAGGAACCTAAAGCAAGAATGTATCAACAGTCTTAAAACAATGGAAGAAGAAAAGTTTCAGCAGAGCGGTAAAAGATAAAGAAAAACTCAATGGAATCTTAGAACTGAAACCGAAATAAAAGTGCCCCCGAAGGGCCCCAGAGCAGCATGGAGGTGACAGCAGGCCTGTGCGCTTGAAGATGGACGTAGAAATTGCCCATCTGAACAACAGAGGAAACAGATGGAAAGAAGTCACAGAGCCACAGCGACCTGTGGGAGAAGAACAAGAGAGCGAGCGTTTTTGCCGCCAGAGTCCCAAAGGGAAAAAGAGCACGGAGTCGAGAAAACACGTGCAGAAGTCATGGTTGAAAACTCCCCAAATGTGGCAAAGACAACAACCTTCAGATTCAATGCCCAACATGATAAGCCAAAGAAGCATGTGTCCAGACACAGCACCATCAGATACCTGCCCTGAGCAACAGACTCGGCCTGCGACTGGTCGGGGAAAGGGCTGGATGGCAGAGGCCTTCTCAGAGGAAGTGGCACCACTGGATTAAGGGCTGAAAGCTCCTCCTTTGACACCAGTGAATACATTCCCTTCTCGGGTAAAGGGAAAGATCTGGCACCAGCAGACCTGCCCTAAGAGCAGATGATGTGGAACCTGGAACGTCGGGACGCAGGAAGGACACAAAGGGCAAAGGGCAGGTGTCCAGCTGACTGTCACAGACTCCACCTTTCCTCTTGAGTTTTTTGAAGTACGTTTGACATTTCAAAGCAAGAACGATAATCCTGCCTGAAGCAGCTCCCGACGTAGGAGAGGCAGGGTTTGTGACAGCCACGCGGGCACGGGGCGTGCGTGGCAGGCACACCTCCACCTTCCGAGGGAGGCTGTGCAGTGTGGACGGGAGCTGGCCGTGGTCCTGCAGCCACCAGAGCTGTGCCCTCAGCAACCACTGACCCATGGCAATGGAACACCAACAACGTGCAGATGACCCACGAGCAGGAAGACAGAAAACAGGCAGGAAGCGGCTGCTCACCCTCCACACGACAAGTGCAAGTATATTGGTTAGAAACATTAGCAAAATGGATTTTAGAAACTGACCGAGCTATGTGCTGTCCACAAGAAATTCACTTCAAATGTGGTAGAAGCACGCTAAAAGAGGAAAGGATCCCGAAGACACGCCGAGCAGACACTCACCAGGGGGAGGCCAGGTTAGTGACCAACAGCACGCGGAGGGGACCCCGGGGCAAGGAGAGCTGCGGGACCCTGGAAGGGTCCGTCCCCGTCACAAACACAGCAATCCTAGGGCTGTACGCATCCAACGACAAGGCTTCAGAACACATGATGCAGAACTGACAGAATCACAATAAAAAGCAAAGATCTGCCTAACAACAGGAAGAGAAAGGAATTTCCTTACTCTGACCCTGCGCCCCCAAATCCTTACCAAGTATTAAAGTGAAATGCTGAAAATTTTTCTCTGGGATCAGGAAGAAAGCCAGCCGTTACCAACATCCTACTGGAGATGCCGGCCAGGAAACGTAACTTAAGAAAAAGAAATAAAAGGGCGCCTGGGTGGCTCAGACGGTTAAGCGTCTGCCTTCGGCTCAGGTCATGATCCCAGGGTCCTGGGATCGAGTCCCGCAT